TTTCGAGTCACTTCTTTAAAAAAATATTTTCATAGTGACCAAGTGACATTTTATTATCCAATTGGAAGTGACTGATGAGCTCATTATTTAGAAACTGTTATCGCTCATCTAATTGACGTACTGGTATATACAATTCATTTTTGTTTTACCAATGTGGAATTAAAAAAAACTCACTATTTTGTCAAAAAAAAAAAAAAAAGCCTAGGGGAAAGGGTAATAGTTAAATTGGTCAATTCTATGTTGCTTTATCCCATTCAAGGAACCGAAACAATATTAAGTTGCCTGTTACTAAAGGAAGACAGCAAGGAAATGTTTTAGAAGACAATAGTGTTTAGTCAGAATGTATAAAAAATTTTATAAAGATTTTAATATTTCTTACAATATAAAGAGACCATCATCTGTTTGTATGTGCATAAGTGAATTCTGTATTACTCCTATTATTTTTGTCTACTCCAGGTGAAATTTTGTTTTGTTGCTCTTTATGTTTCAGGCCCACCAGTGGTCAAACAGTTTCATTCTCTAAACACTGATAGTTTGGCTGTGGGCCACACCTCTCTGGGACGGGCTGGCCATGTGGAGTTTTCCAGGGTTTTTCCAAATCTTTAGTGCCTAAATAGGGGCCAGTTACCCTTAAAGACATCTCAGAAGTCATCCCCATTAGGCGGATTGCTCAAATGTTGCATTACTGTATATAACAATTCAAACAAACAAACAATTCTATGTTACAGCAGATAGTATAAACTACTTAATCTGTATAAATATTAGCAAATTTTCTTGAAATATCTACTCTTCTCAATTCTTCAATCTCTACTTTTTCATAAAAAGTATTCTATCATGCTTGATGGGGGAATTTCTAGTATGATATATGAAGCTTGGTGGCAGTTCAATAAACAGTCAGTGAATTGGGCAGACTATATCTGTCATTTCTGAAAAGAAATCTTGTTTAAAGAATAATATAGTGGTGTAGTAGTTTTGCTTTTGAGTTTAGTTTAACCTTCATAGAATGGGAGCTGAGAAAGCAGTTTGTGTCATATCCAGTGTTGTCAGTAGTGCCAGAGAAAAGTGTCTCATTGATACCAAAATTATCAGATTACTAATTTAGAGAATTATCAGATTTACTAATTATAGAAAACTTCCTTGGTTTATAAATATAAAAAAGTCATTCTAAATTAAGCATACTAACATATTACATATTTATTATTCATTTATGTTTTTAAAATTTAATACCATCAACTTCATGAGTATTAGCAAATTAAATTAAACTTCATTTTTTCTTTATATATAGTTACATAAATGGATATATCAAAAATTAAATTTTTCAATATTTATTATTGACATGAAGTTGTACAATTAAATTATATGGCAGTTTTGAAATGGTTGGTTAACCTCTATTTTTCAACAGTCTCCACTCTTTCAGAGGCATTCTTCTTCTGTAAAAGTAGAGACTATGTTGAATAAGAAGACTTCTAATATCTTAGTGTACTATCAGTTGCCCCATGCCGGTGCAGAATAAACCCAGTTCTTATGACTAGTATAAACATTTTTAGATTTCAACTTAAATCTCATTACCTGAGAATTTATTTTGGAGATACTTCTTTAGTTGTTGGAAGAGATGAAAGTCTGAAAGGGTCTTTAGCCCTTTCAGACTTTCATCTTTTCCAACAACTAAAGGCTGTAGGGAGGATGGGCTAAAACCCTTCACTTTAACTTCTGCAGAATTGCAGCTATATTTTTGGCAATGTTCAGACAATTATTGTGGAGAAGCATAATATGAGACAAGATATAACCTCTTGTGACAAATGACCTTCTTCAAACAAGTCCTTTCTGGTAAAAATTGGCATTTAATGTTATTCTTTTTGGTGAGAACACCATATTCAGACGAAGATCCCAATAGATAGTCACCAAAGTTTTTCAGTATTTACTGACATCTTTAATTTCTTGTTGACAAGGTATACTGGATGCTTCAATGTCGTGGATTTCTTCTTGGTTTCAGGTTGGAAATTAAGGAACCCAGTTTTTATCTCTGATGACAATAGAACTTAAAAATTCTTTCATCTCTTCTACTTAACAGCTCAAGTGTTCTCAGGTAATGAGATTTAAGCTGAAATCTAAAAATGTTTATACTAGTCGTAAGAACTGGGTGTATTCGGTACTAACATGGGGCAACTGGTAGTATGTGAAGATATTAGAAGTCTCCTAATTCAACGTAGTCTCCACTCCTACAGAAGAAGAGTGCCTCTGAAAGAGTGGAGACTATTGAAAAATTTTTGATCTGCAGAAATTTTCCTGAAGGATCTTGTCTGGCTCTGGCTGGAGTCTTTGTGGAAACCAAATACTCATAGACAATGCTCCAAATGACACAAATAAACATTGAAAAAATGGAAAAATTCCCATCTTATGGAACAGGGATTTTCTATCAACTCAGAATGTCTAATAGAAAATATGAAAGAAGAGTTGTTACTAGCAATCAGACAAGTATATGACACTGTGAAAGTCAAAGATGGGATTGCCTCATATTCCATTTCAAAGTCCTTAATTTTATCAGTGTGAAATGAAAAATGCAAAATGCTGGAAGGAAGCTCTGAAAAGAATAATTTTAATACATTTAAAGAGATTTTTTTTAGTGTTTTTTGAGATTTGATCACTACAATGCATTTATACACACACACATGATTAAATTTATATTTGATTATATTTTGGAATTGCGATGGTAGGATGGATCACCTTCTAAAACATCATTAAAATGCATTGTAATCAGACTTATGTATATGTGCAGTTTCATCCTTCTGTCTTAATTAGAAGTAGATAAATATCACTTTTGGATAGCTGTTCATAGACAAAGACATAAACAAAAGTGATACATAGAACATAAACAAAAGTAGAACATAAACAAAAGTGATAAATATCACTTTTGTTTATGTTCTATGTATGTCTTGTCTCTTTAATCTGACATTAAGTTCGGTAGACTATCATTACAGCTTTCAGGTTAGACACTTCTTTTATTGTTTTGACATATGCATAAGTCCAAAATGCATATGTTGAAACAAGAAAAGAAGTGTCTAACCTGAAAGCTGTAATGATAGTCTACCGAACTTGATGTTGGATTAAAGAGACAAGACATACATAGAGAAGTAGATAATATTGAGTTGCAAGATTTGAAGACATGATAAAAAGAAGAATAAATAAAAGCATTTAAAAATAATCAAACAGGAAACAGAGAAAAGCAGAAGGAAAGATAGATGTATTATAAGAAAAAAGACAGACCACTTATTTCAGAATAAACAAAAGAATTTCTATGATAAGATTGCTCTTAGTAAACATGGTATTAAGACTGTATAGAATATACTGGATTTGTCATGACTTTTGTAGTATATTTTCCTCTTTCAAGTAGTAGTAAAGAAGTTTTAAGATACAGTAGACTCAATAATCATGGAAATGTGTTAAGATGCTTGGTGTGATAACTTATTTGGAAATAAATGAATTCTGTTTATGAATTCCATGATGTTGGTAGTTTTGTATTTTTTTACTTTTCCATCAAGTTGTAAAAGTGGAATTTAGACATTTTGAAAAAACTTTATTGACAATTAACTCAACCACAATTACAGTTTAGTCTTGTAAGTAATCATCATTAACTAGAGATACATAAAATACCTTACATACTGTACTTTTCCAGCAACTTAAACTTTAATATAGCTAATGTTTTTAGCTTGATTAATAAGCCTTCATTGTGTTTTTGAACAGAGATTCTGTTTTAGAACAATATTTAAAATTATTTTAAGGTAATTCTAAATATCATTCCAAAACTTATTAACCAAGCCAAAAACATTACTTATATTAAATTTTAAGTTACTGGAAAAGTATGTAAGGTATTTTGTGTGTGTCTAGTTACTGTGTAGTTCCAGCTTATACCAGTATCTAATCACCATTAAACTTTGTGACAAACTTTCAATCCTGTGAACACAGAAAATGACTGGGTTTTTCTTTGAAGAAAGCCTCAAGTATTTTTCTCATATGAGTATTTCATTGAACTGTATATTGTCAATATAGTTCTGCAGGGTGTGAAATAGATGTGAAACCATGAATTATTATTTTTTAGTTGCAGGAGAATGTCATCAATAGTGGAATTGCTGCTTGGATAGGGTTTATCTTGAAGTGAAAAAAATCTTCATCCCTGAATTTCTTGAACTAGTTGTAGAATGTCTGTCTGTTTACTGTGTCCTTGCCACCTGCCTTGCAGATGAATCATGAGCCTTTGTTGCATTATGGCTACTTTAGAAGTGATACAGCAACAGCAAGTGAATGCATTCTTTTAAAAGTTTCTTATTGTCAGACATTGCTGATGCATTTATTTTCAATGAAATATGTGATGAAATACTCCCTAGTTACTCTATTTACATACTGACATTGAACATTCTAAGATGTTTTGTTTTCCAGTCATTTCTAGAAAAAATTGAAATGTCTAAATTTCATTTTTACAACTTGATATATGTACATTGGACAATGGTCAGTTGAAAAATGAAAAAAGTATGCAGAAGTCAGGTATATTCAAAAATAGTAGGCACTCTAATTTTTCTGTTTTGGTGCAATTGGCCATTAATAATAATATTTTTTTGTAAAAGTTTTTTTTTACTATAAATCTTTTTATATACAAATAGAAACATCCAAACCTGTTATATATTAAAGCCAAATGATTGCTGAATTATATTGGACTATAATACTACTATTATTATTAATTAAATGCTAAGTAATTTGGCACTAGAAGTAGGCATTAGGTGAAATCTCATAAATTAATTCATTATTAAAATATTAATTATAATTATTAAATTTAGCAAATAATGGACCTAATGCCTAATTAATCTAGAGCCAAATTACTTAGAATTTAATTAATAATAGTAGTAATAATATAGCCAAATATAATTCAGCAATTATTTGGCTTTAAATTTTTCGATATTTAAATTAATGTTGATCTTCATTAAGATTCTTAAACTCCACTTTTTCAGAATGGTCTTACTAATGAGGAAGTTCTGTTGGGTTATTCTTCACAGCAGTATCCAGTAGAAATGGTTAGATTTACACTTTCAAGTGAGTCAATAAAGTTTTTTTTAATAATTTAATTATTTCAAATTTGTTGAACTCTTGATAAAAATATTTTGTTCTATAAAGTATATTAACTGAAAAGAGAATCTATAAATCTGTAATTTAGCATATAATTATTTTTATAATTGTATGGACAAAACATTTTGTAGGAACTAGAGATAAATATGAGCAGACAAATGAGGTGGCAGCAAGTACATTATCAAGTTCTCTCCCAAGTACAAGCCCAAATGTTTACAGAAAATTGGTNTTCTTCACAGCAGTATCCAGTAGAAATGGTTAGATTTACACTTTCAAGTGAGTCAATAAAGTTTTTTTTAATAATTTAATTATTTCAAATTTGTTGAACTCTTGATAAAAATATTTTGTTCTATAAAGTATATTAACTGAAAAGAGAATCTATAAATCTGTAATTTAGCATATAATTATTTTTATAATTGTATGAAGATAGTGCTGATTCATTTATTCCATTGCATATCCATTTTTATTAAACTTTATATTATAAAAGAAATAGGACAAATTGTATCATATAAGTAAATCAATGAAATAAATAAATGTTCCTCAAATCTGTTTTGATTTGTATGAGAAAAGAAAATTATTATTTTTTAATATATATGCAAATTTATTAGTGTGTGTAAATAATCCTATTTATAACAAACAATTACATTAAATTTACAATCTGAAGATAAAATGATTAATCCCCAAAATGTTTAGGCAAATTAAACAATTAAAAAAAGGCTTCTCTTTGAAAACTAGACTGAATGTTATTTTATTTAAAATTTATAATTATTAAATTGTTTCTTGAATTTGTTATAAAACATATATTTTTTTATTTTTTAAGATCTTCATGCTAGAAATCTTAAGAAAGGAATGTTCTTTAGTCCTGATCCCTATGTTAAAATATCAGTTCAGCCAGGTAAAGGGGAAGGTGTTTTATTACTTCCTCATCATGGACAAGTTTGTCGAACAGGTATTGCAGAATCAACTACTCATCCTTCTTGGCCTGGACAAGTAAGATACTTTTGTTATTATGTCAATTTTTAGTAAATATTAAAAATAGATCTCTAGTTTAACAGTTTAAATTGTAGCACCTTATCTAGCAACAAGATGTATCTCAAAGTGAAATTAGGAAACTTAGAAGGAAATAGAATATATTACAATAAATAGAACAAAACATGGCTTATGAACATGTGTAATTTTTTAAAAATTTATTTAACTAAAAGTTATACAAGATTTGTGATATCATTTTCAATTTTCCAAATAAGCATGAAACATTTCATTTATAATCTTCAATATAATTAAAGAATAAACATCTTAATAAAAATGACTTAATAATGAAAAAATGAAATAATGCAAAATTATATAAATAAAAATTATAAAAAATAATAAAATAATAATTGAAACCAAAACTAGTCTTTACTCCAAAACTGAAACCAAAATAAAAAATAAAATTAATTAAAATTCAAATCAATTGAAAATTAAAACAATTTGTGTGCCGAAATGGAACATTTTGCTTTTGATGTATATAGATACAAAATACAGATTGTTGGTTAAACAGGCTCAATGCTGGCTGGATGGCAACCTGATGCCACCCTATGTCCCCTAAAATCGTGACAGTTAGTACTGATCGAATGCAATCTCTCGTAGCTCTGACTACACGAAAGAAAAGTCTGCACGACAGACATTACCGCATGTATGTGGTGTTGCATACTCTGCTTTATCAACATGAAAGTTTACAATAAACTAATACTTAATTGTTAATATTGTAATTTTAAAAATTTTCATTTTTAATCTTTGACTGAAACAAATAATTAATTTTTTATTTGACATTTCTAAAATTTAATATGGAATTGGTCATTAAATTTAGTACGAGATGGCGTGTTTATTATATAACGGGCTATGATTGTTGATGTTTATATGTAATATGTGTGAACACAAGTTTGGAAAAATGTGTGATCACAAGTGACACTAAAATGCTAGCGGAATGAGTGTTAAATACAGACTGATGGAGCATGCACATGATCCGGGATTTCCCCTCTCCTTGTCATTCATTATGCAAAATATCGCTCGTTAAGCGAGTCAAATTTTTACAATTTATTTTGCTCGTTATGGGAAATACTCATTATGTGAAGTGCTCGTTAAGCAAGGTTTTACTGTATTAGAAAATGCCTGATTTTTCTGATTCCAATTAACCATCCCATCATTATATGATACATGACTATCTCTCATCCCCTCAAACTTTAACTATCAAAATTTAATGGCATAGATGTCTCTTATATACAGATTTCGTTTATTAATCTTTGTTCCATCCTGAGATATTAAACAAAATAGATACCAAAACACACATCACACAAACATATGTATAAAAATTTTCTTTTTTGTTCAGTCAGGGATCTCAAAACAACAAGATTTGCCAAAACACAAAGGATCAAATTTGATACCAATGCTAATCAATGCACCTTTAACAGTGGGTGATGTTGAAGGAATTCTAATATTTTTGATCCAGTTTATACCATCTTCAGGATGAACAGACAAAAGAATGGCAAGAAAGGGAGAATGGACAAGGCTTTATTTTTATGGCATTAAAAAGGTCCCACAGAAATATTAAACTTTTATTCTTATCAAATTTTTTTATTAGAAGTATATTTTTTGGATTATTGAACTTGTAACACATAATGTGAAACACCCTGTATATTATATGCATTCAGTCANATTTTAATCTCTACTTTATAATAAATTATTTTAATTTTTATAGGAAAAAATAAGATTTTATATAATCAGAAAAATTTTTTGCTCAGAATCTACTCAGCAAAAATTTTTTTGCTCAGAGAAGTATATGTTCTGCTCATCTACAAAAAAAAAATAGAGGGAACATTGACTGCTGGTGTTTGGTGGTTTTATCCTCTTCATTACTGGAGGTACTTATAGGGCTGAATTTTGAAAAAATTGTAGACCTGTAAATTCACTTTCATCCATATGCTGTCTATCCCTAATCTTGAGAACAGAGTTAGATAGATGAATGCTGAGACCAGATATGGAAAGCTTAGGAGCAGGAGACCCCAATTAACTACAGTAATACCTTGACTTACGCTATCCCAACTTACATGAATCCGGAATTACGCGATTTTCAAATCTCGTCAATTCATCTTTTGTTTGAGCACCACGCAACTCTTGATTACTCACTCCCCCACACTGTTGTTCAGCTTACATGTTTGGACGTGTCTTGCAGAATCGACACATAGCTACAATTTATTTTGTGTTATTTATTTCTGTGTTTGTTATATCTACGGAGCCTTCAGAGACTCTATGTGGTGATTTCTTGTAACCGTGAACGAATCAAAAGACAAGATAAGATTAACGAGAACATTTATTAGCTTACATACTTGGATTTTACACGAATTGCGAAATTATACCCCGACTTACGCGAATTCGACTTACGCGGTTATCGCTCGGTCCCACCTATTGCGTAAGTTTGGAGTATCATTGTATATATGAATTTCTGATGGAAACTGAAAGTTACATTATTTCAGCTGAAAAATTTTTCCTTTAATGGAGTTAGATACATAACTGGCATGGCTCTATTGCTAACAGAAAAAAGTATGATGTACTGTATAGTGGAAAACCACTACTCTACTTCCCACAAGCAAGTGCTATGTGCTACTTATCATAGTAATGGCATAGTGGCATGTCTATTTTGCACTATATCATTGTCTCAGTAATTAAGTGAATAAAATATAATTCTTACAAAAAAGAATTTTAAAAATATATGTATTTTCTTTATTAGTTTATCAAATTTTTGCCAATAGATGGTGTTACATGTAAAGCCAGAAAATCAAATGTTGACAGAAAATAATTGATATATAGAAATCCATCAATATTTTGGTGTGAGATGTATGTCATGATCTAAGTTAGAAGTATATGAATGTAACCTCCAAGTTTTGTAGCAATTGGTTGAACGGCCTAGGCCTGCATAGCAAACAAACATATATCCTCATTTATATATAAATATATTAGTTTAGTAAATTCAAACATGGCAAACAAATTAAACCAAAATAAAGCAGAACAGTTTACAAACAATAATATTTTCTAAATAATTGGAACTTATTTTTCTGAGTTAGTTTTCAAAATGGAAATAAGAAAGAATGAAGAATATCAATAAATATATATTTTGATAATCTGAAACCGTGCCGTAAATCTTCTTTGTTGCTTAAATACTACATATATATTTAATTTGTTGCTTAAACATTATGTTAAATTTTTTTAATATGAAGCTAAAATAACTAACGCCACTCTACACTACAATTGGGACATATAATCAATTATTAGTATTTGATGAATTCAAGCTTTCTAAATTAAAGCTGTTGAAGCTTATACTTCCTCATATATCAGTGAGCTAACTGAATCTAAAATCCTGCTTGTTAGAATGTAAATATAATGCACATCCTGGTAAATCTATGACTAGCATAATCTATAGCTGAATTTGTTTTTCAAAATAATTTCTCTCTAAATTGGCGAGAAACTAAAATATCTCAAGATAATACTTTCCTATTCTTTCTCGAGGAGTCACTAGCAATCCTAGCTTTGTATCCAATAAATTCTCTAACTTATATACTTAACTAGCAGGTAAGCCCAGCATTGCCCAGGTGAAAAATAAGAACAAATATTAATATTATTAGCTTATTTCATACTTTTAACAGTGTGAAGAAAACCCAGAAAACTGCATGTGGCCAGTCTGTCAGCAATGTGTGAATCCGCAACCGACTGCTGGCAATGTTTCCTCTAAGCTGCACTGCTCCATGGCCGCGCACTGCTCAAATTGTTGCTGCGCACGAGAATTTATGTGCCACACAGGCGAGCATGCACACCGATTTGAATTCTTGTTTACTTATTTCTCACTGTCTGCAACATGATTATTGATGTGTATATTTCGATTAAATACATTAAATCAGTGACAAAAGATAATATTTCGTATAAAAGTATGTTTTAAAATGAATTTTAATCTCTACTTTATAATAAATTATTTTAATTTTTATAGGAAAAAATAAGATTTTATATAATCAGAAAAATTTTTTGCTCAGAATCTACTCAGCAAAAATTTTTTTGCTCAGAGAAGTATATGTTCTGCTCATCTACAAAAAAAAAATAGAGGGAACATTGACTGCTGGTGTTTGGTGGTTTTATCCTCTTCATTACTGGAGGTACTTATAGGGCTGAATTTTGAAAAAATTGTAGACCTGTAAATTCACTTTCATCCATATGCTGTCTATCCCTAATCTTGAGAACAGAGTTAGATAGATGAATGCTGAGACCAGATATGGAAAGCTTAGGAGCAGGAGACCCCAATTAACTACAGTAATACCTTGACTTACGCTATCCCAACTTACATGAATCCGGAATTACGCGATTTTCAAATCTCGTCAATTCATCTTTTGTTTGAGCACCACGCAACTCTTGATTACTCACTCCCCCACACTGTTGTTCAGCTTACATGTTTGGACGTGTCTTGCAGAATCGACACATAGCTACAATTTATTTTGTGTTATTTATTTCTGTGTTTGTTATATCTACGGAGCCTTCAGAGACTCTATGTGGTGATTTCTTGTAACCGTGAACGAATCAAAAGACAAGATAAGATTAACGAGAACATTTATTAGCTTACATACTTGGATTTTACACGAATTGCGAAATTATACCCCGACTTACGCGAATTCGACTTACGCGGTTATCGCTCGGTCCCACCTATTGCGTAAGTTTGGAGTATCATTGTATATATGAATTTCTGATGGAAACTGAAAGTTACATTATTTCAGCTGAAAAATTTTTCCTTTAATGGAGTTAGATACATAACTGGCATGGCTCTATTGCTAACAGAAAAAAGTATGATGTACTGTATAGTGGAAAACCACTACTCTACTTCCCACAAGCAAGTGCTATGTGCTACTTATCATAGTAATGGCATAGTGGCATGTCTATTTTGCACTATATCATTGTCTCAGTAATTAAGTGAATAAAATATAATTCTTACAAAAAAGAATTTTAAAAATATATGTATTTTCTTTATTAGT